GGGGGGGGGGTGCCGATTCCCGGTCCTTGGAACATTCAGCCCGTCTCTTTCGCCTTCTCGCGGCCCGTCGTGCCTACAAAATGAGAACCTACGAATCGGGACGAGAGCATCTCTCCGGGACCGGAAGTTCACGTCTCATCCATTTGAAGACACAAGTTATCCGTCTACCAATTTCTCGCGATGACGGATGCACGTAGGAGGTTTTTGAAAATTTAGAATACAGAACTTCCGGATCCTCAAACAAGGACTTCGAAAACAGACCTCGTTTCGGAATGTTGTATGGCGGGTTTGGAAGTCCGGCTTACGAGGCTATTCCCGTAGAAATCCGGCAAGCTCTCGAGATAGAAACTTTTGAAAATGTAGCGGATCCTCAGAGGCCGAACGCGCATCCCTCTAGGGATCGCACGACCTCGCCCTTCTCACTCACTGGCGTACCGTGACGAGACTTCTGCGTAACAACGGTACTATCTTGCAGCTAACACAGCCGAGGTCTCCACATTAGATCAAAGAGCATTGATTCCGCCGAAGTTTTTTGTCCGTGATACTCTCGGGATAAGCCAAGAGCGAGCTCAGGCACGTTACGACAAGGGGCATATTTCCCCAGGGGGGCTGAACTTCTCTCAAAGACAACCCGCACGCCTCGTTGCCGCCGGGAAACTTTGTACACACCGCTGGCGACGGAGCTCTGGTATCTTAGGAGTTCTGAATTCCTGGGGGGTCTCATCAATCACGTCACTTGTGTCTGATGAGAGTTCACTAATATCGCTCGTATCCGGGAGCTCACTCTGGCTATATCCGGAAAAACGTGGGAAAAACGGAGCGTCTCTCCCGCGTTTTGAGCTGAACCTTATTGGCTGTCATCATCGAGTGAATCCCCTCCTCGAGGTAGACAGATGCGAGCTTGAGTCTCATGAGTGCTGCCATTGGCTGCTGTAGCTTGCCTGGACAGATAAGGGACCGGACACGACTCCGGAAATAGACGCTTTCCTCCGACCGTTCGTCACGAATTGGTCGCTTGTTGACGCTTCCGCTCCGAGCGGATGGGCGAGCATTGTACATCCCTGGATCCACTCCAACTTTAATCAAATCGGAATTATTCGGTGGGATGGAGTGAATTGCAATGACCATGAACAATGATCATCGGCTACAGCTGGGATGCCGTGATTAGAGTCGTACCCGGGATCGATTTTCCCGGGATGCCCAAAATCTCGGGCCCGGATGCCATCGACCGCGACGTTTCAATCGAATTGAGCACGACTCAGCTCACGGCTTTCTCCAAAAAAACACGCGCGCGAGCTGCCGCAATCGCAGCCCCCGACGGCCGCGGGCTGAGAGAGAGCGAGTCTCGTTGAGGTGGAGCTGAAAAAATTCTTGCAGCAGGCGAGCCAATGAAATATATTAGAAGTTATTTGAGAGATTTATTGGGACAGCATCAGGGAGCGAGCTCCCCAATGAGGCGAGCAAAGAGCCTAAAATCCCTGTCCGTCATTGTTTTGTGAGCTGATATTTAACAAAGAGCTCCCTCCCACTGAGTTACAAGCGTTTTTGGATCTTCATAAATTACGTTGTATCGATATCAGAGTTTTTAGGAGGATTTTTAGTGCTGCGCCGCCGACGGAATGAGGGCCCTGTCATTGAAGATTGCTTCTTTGCGATATGTGCAGTCTGGCGGGCCGGTCCTTCCGAGACGAGTGTCACGGGTGCTTCGATCTGAATTAGATACTCCAGGCAAGCACGGCATCTAATGAGATCGTTTGTCCTCTCAGCCAGATTTTCGGCACCGAACAAGGACTCGGAACGATCCGTTCACCGGACTGACTTCGGCGGTCTCGGAGGTCTCAAGAGAATTCCGGAACCTGGGAGCACTCAGCTCTCGGTGACGTTTTCGGTGAGCAGTATCTGTGGTGTGCGCTGGCGATAGCCTTGAGCGGACGAGGATCTCTCCTCGAAGAAAAGAACTGTTTTTCTTTATGCAGTGATCTTTTCCCTCGCTCAGCTAAATAGAGTAAGATTGAGCTTCCGATAAGATCGGGCCTATTGTTCGGGGGTTTATTGAGCGGAGTTATCAAGTAAGCCTGCCGTTCGCTTAGTCACTGAAAGAGGGAGAAAATAACCAGGAGTCCGAAAAGACCAAATGAAGGAAACTTATTACTGGCATTGATTGCGACTCTCGCCTAGCTCCGGAGGGTTTGCTGACAGCGATCGGCTCGAGTCCGACTCAGGATACATAGTGGAGCTGCAAAAGCGATTCTCGCGAGCGCGCTCCAAACAAAGCGGTTAGGAATGATGCAAAAAATACCTATCGGAGCCACACCAGGCTGAGTTCGTAGTCGGTCCCTCGATGTTCCCTGGAGGCAAGCTTGCTCTCTTGCTTTTCGCAACACCCCACCTCTCATCAACAAGTCAAACGCATCTGTTCCCACCCACAACAATGTGAATGGCATGTTCCCCCTCCCGACTCGTCTCGGCTCCCAGCGAGAACTATTGGAAGCGAGAACAAGGGTCATTCAATCTCCGGGCTGCCCCTGCGACTGCCGTTTCGCACCCCAGAGCGATATCGCTCTACCGAGACAAGGCCCACAGGCGGTGAATTCGAATGAGAGGGAGCCGGTGAATGAATTCTATCGGGTCAGCGTCGATCCCTCTTACAACATCGTGAACCTAGTTGATCTGAAATGTTATTGAAAATCGTATCCTCTTTCGAAGCGTCAGGGGTCTTCCCCCTGGGAATCTCATCGCTTATCAAAACCATCCCGCGCGAACTCCAAGATACAAAAGACTCCGCCTAAAGGGGACACATCATAGGGGCCATTTTGATCCGTATAACCGGAGGATCCGATTCTCCGACGCCCCAACCAATGGAGCTCAATGTATCAGGACTTTTCGAGAGCGATCCGTTTAAGCGGAGTTCCCGATGAGCAGAGTTCACTGTATCCCCCGGAAGTGACACGGGCAGGCGAGCGGAGAGAACGATTCGCCCCTGATGGAGAAGACTCAATATGTCGGACTTCCTTGATTGGTTGTGAAATAATAGAGATTCGATGAATCGACATATTCTAAAGTTTACCTGTTTAAACTACATCGTTCGGCGCCGCAGGCATACCCCGCACACTTCGCGCCGTCAATTTGGACCTGGGCATGCCCCGTGCCTTCCCCCATCGAACAGACCAAGAGGGAGTTTTTCGCTAGCTTCCTGCCGTGCCTAGATCGTCAGGAGGATTTTACGCAGATCGTCTGTCTTCGAGCAACCGCCCCCGAATTGCTGACCACGAGACCGCTGTCTGAGCGTGAGATCGCCCACTTGGAGCCCTGGTATCGAGGAATCCCGCCTAACGATTCAACCTTGCTCGTCGAACCCTTCGGCTCGAGTTCGTCCTTTGTATGAGCGCTCGTTCTGGAAGACTTTCATCCTATCTCATTCCGACCCCTCGATTCCCTCTCAGATTCTTGAGGAAATATTTGGGCTTGAGACTAAGGGCCTCGATACTTCCAGCCTTAAGAGTTTCCTAGGTCAGTCGACGAATCCAGAGTATGGTGTTGGGACACATCGAGTTCCAATTTGAATTCGAGCCGCTCCGATCGTGATTCGAGAGCGAAATCTCGTCGTGCTCCCGGCGAGATTTAGAGGAATCGTCTAGCCTAACCTACACATTCAGGAGGCCCGGAATGAGTTGCAGAGATACAAGAGCACGGTCACATGGGTAAATGTCGCCATGGATAAGAGGAGGTCCTTTCCCATGAATACGAATAGTCCTGATGCAGAGAAAATCGCTCTCACCTGAAATCTGGAGACTGTGAACAATCTGACAAACAGTTTCTCATTCCGCTGCTTCTTCCTTCGAATTCTCTCCATGGGACTGTGGGGAATGCTGCACGGATCCCGTCGACAAACTCTGCGGCATCTGATGCAGGGAATACAGATCCAATGGATAGCTTTCCCCAGCGCTTATACATATGTACTCGGTTGACCCAACGATGCGCGAGTCACTTCGACGGATACTCGCTCCGAATACCCACGAACCCCTTTGAACGTATTCCTATTTTGCTACACTGAATGAGACAAGCGCGATCCAATATAAATTCAGTATTTCTCCCGATCATTTGAGCGATATAGACACAAGGGACTCGGGTATTTCGCTTACAGGAAGCAGGATCAGAAACCCCGCGATAACAGAGCCCGGCTGATCTCAGCGCGGGCAGATCTTCAGAGCACCTTGAGTTTTTCAGCCGAATCTGTTTAATCGGAGAAGATCGAAACTAGGTGGATCTCTCCGAACAGCGCATGAATTTCCCCGGACAGCGTGTTTTGCTCTAGTCGCTAGTATTATTCCAGCTCCTTCCAGCACAATTTCCCGATTGGGAGTCTATTACAGGAAGCACCTTCGGTGGAATACATCGGGAAGTTTCCGAGGTTCGAGCGCCTTGTGCTCCGCAGACTGACAGGCTCCCCGGCTAGTCCCGGGACGGAAACGATTCGGTTCGGCTTTTCTTTGGATTTCTCTTCAATGTGAAGGTTCGTTGCTCACAAATATCCTGACGAGAGCTGTATGAGGATATCCTCGTCCTGAACGACCCTCTGAGCTTTGAGTTCAAACAACCTTCGAGGTGGGACAAGTCGTCCTTCACATTCGGTGAGTCCAGCACGATTCTCCGATCGTTCCACTTGATGCGACTCCAGATATTCATCGGGCAGCGGATCGGTCGCTCCGCGGAGAAGACGAACCTTCCTCAAGAATATCGATTCGAAGATTGCAATGTTTCAGAGAGGAGTCGCGGTCGCCTCTTTCTTTTCTGTGAGAGCTCGAGGGGAGTGGACGAATGCGACGAAGGGCAAACCTTGACCCGCTGCAGCTCGCAGGAAGCCCAGATTGGACGTGACCGTCACAGCTTTCCAGGAGTCGCCTGTACCTGTGGGAATGGACATGATGCAGTTGATCGCGAAGAATTGGGGAAGGAGGACCAAAACACAGGGGCTCTCGAGCGAAATCCCCAATGGGGAGCTCGGATTAAACACCTACCGAACACGACTACGGGTCTCTGCTTCACTTTCCCTCTGAAGTCGAGCTCGGAGGTCCGCTCCGAAGGATCGTCGGGCACGATCTCGAGCATATTGAGAAGTTTGGTCGTCGCCGCGTTCTCCGTGGGACCAGCCAGCAGTTTCGTAATTTGCGTGAAATCCTGGAAGAGAATCCTGATCTCAATTCCTCCAAAATCAATCGAACGCGGGAAAACTCCAAAGGTCTGTCTCTCGCGGCGAATCAATGGAGTCCGCTCACCTTGAAGGCAGTATGGCAGCAGATGAGCTTCCTTTTCTCAAAAAGTTGCTCCAATACAGGCTTAATTGGGTCCTTCCGCTCACTCTCCGCCTGTTCGGACAGGATATTCTCCTGGAACCTGACATCCAATGCATCGTTCTCAGGAACAATCTCAACTACCTGAAGCCAGTGCTGGAATAGAACTGGGCTCATAGAAGTCGCACTCACTGAAAATTAGCGCGTCCATTCGTGAGAGCAGAGACATATGCGATCATCGTAGAGACGTCAAGATTCAGAATGGCGTCCTCCGGAACTTCTTCTAAACGGAGCGATCGGAAGGTGGATGACTCCCCGTTCCCACAATCGAATCTGCAGCCGAGAAGAGTTTTCATACTTTGAGATTTTTAGCTTCCACAGACATCGATCAGCGTTTCATTCGATCTAGATACGAGAACTTACCCGTCGTCAGACGGCTTATCTCCTATTGTCGTCATCACAGTCGCACCAGCCTCCTCGACAATTGTTTTCAATTCTTCGGGGACCGGGTGAGAACACGCAAAAAGCACTTTGACTTGCGGTATTGTATAGAGATGAGGATGATGCTTCGAGCAGGCAACCATATCACGTATTTGATGCATCAGGGTCCGTCGACCGTACTCTCCATCACCTTTGAAAGAATTCGAATCGGAGATCCCCCTGCGAGGGATCGGCAGCTTGGAAGCATGATCCCCTCATGGATTCCAGATATCGGAACTCGATAACTCACCCATGATGGACGCCAATAGAGCTTCTGGTTTTCGCGCAACGACTTTGATCCATGACTTGCCACCGTCGGCTACTACGTCCACGGAGATTCTTTCGGGTCTCTCGAAATAGTCTTCCTCTGGGAGATCGTTGAGGCAGTCATTCTCAGGGAAAGCAAATGGTTTCATTACATCTTTGAAACCTTCGACTCGGAAAGCGCAGTCGATCAATGAGGAAAGGTACGCTGAAAAGAGAATTGGATTGGAGCAAAGTACATCAAGCGCTGAAAACTGCGAACCCCTCGAGAAGTTGAAATCAGCAACAGAAGCTGAAAGCTGGGCGAGGGATAGTGAGTCTATCCTTACGTAAGTTATTCCCAGTGAGGTTCTCCTTCTTGATTTTTCCTTTGAGACACTGATTGTAAAATTTGATCTCTGCTTGAATCTTTCTCTGGAGTTTCCCCGTGCCGGGAGTCAATGGGAGTTGTGCACAGCGGGTCAGGATCGTTTGAGCGTCTTTCAGTTGGCAGGTTATAATTTCGAGACATCCTTCTTCCGGGGTCGTCGGTGCTAAAAACTGAGATGAACATCGATTCAGCGAATGATCCCGCAATTACGGTCGCCTCCGATACTTCTGTCGGTGAAAAAGTAGATTTACTCCGCGTTGCATATAGACCGAGGAGGACTCAGTCGACTCTACGATTTGGACAAGAGCCATGATTCTGACCAAATGACTTCTCTGCCAGAATTTCGAAATCTTCCCAGGACTCGCTAAGACAAACTTCAGACGGAGGAATATGTTCGAGATAAAGGGATTTGATGAGCCAATCGATAGGCTATGCATGGATCTCATGTTAGCTCGCACTCTCAGTCACCTCATTCATTTGAGCTGTCAAAGGACCGATTGGAATGCCTTGCTAGAACCACAACATCCCAAATTCGAATAGCTCTCCTTGTTGTCATTCGGTTTCTCCACTACTGATGATCTCTACCACCAGCTGGCTCTCTTGCGGATGAATGATGACGCGCTGCTCCGGACGCCATTGCTCTCAATTGGACCGCGCTCGGTATGGCTCGAGCAACGTACTGTACAATAGAATTCGAGAAGAAGCCCAAGCTCCAATCTCTGTAGGCGAGCTGCGAACCTACCTTGTACTTCTTGAAGCGGAACTGTTCGTCGGGGCAATAGATCGATCCCATGTCCAGATGCAACTTAATTTCCGTGGGCACTCGGACTGTAGAGGGGGACGGCGCTCTTCAACGGGGGCTCGACGGAGGAAATTCGCGACTAATGTTGAATACGTCTATCGGAGCCGAACGCGCCGGACACCGGCCTTGGGAGCTGAGAAAGGAGGACACCATTCGAAATCCCGCGCGGTCCATCGGGGCTCTAGATCATGAATCATGAATATCGTATATGCGTGGTGCAGCGGGAGCCCGCTGATTTCTTCTTGCCCTCCAGGAACCGTCATCGCCTGCTTCCGGAAGGAAGGCTCCCCGATACGTTTCCCCGGAGGGGGAATAGCAATTGGACGATTTAGCCAGCAGGTTCGAAGACTGCGCGAGAATGATAGTCCGGCTCGCGAGCTTCCCTCTGGCACTGCAGAGATTCAATTCTCTGACGAGCGGAATACTCCTTGACGAGGTCCTTCATGGTGGCACGGGCGCCCCCTTCGATTAGCGCGAGTGGCTTCAGAACGCTGATTGATTGAAAATATCAATTATGTTTATTGAAGATCCCAATAATGAGGAACTATCTTCTTCGGTCCCTGAAAACGACACAGTAGGACCGAATTTTCTGAGGAGACAGCATACGAGGAGAATTTCTCCCCCTGGCTGCTGAATCCTCCGTGTGCGAAACTGCGGAAGAACTTGACGAGCATTTTGATTCGTGCTGCTCCCGAGCAGAGATCATCATCAGCAGTGCCTGGGGCGATTCGACGGAGTCGGGACCGCAAAATTTCAGGGAACTCTAAAACACTGCACGCTAAACTGGTCGAGATAGGAGTGAAACCAACTTGGAGTGCCCACCGGAAGATCAGGAAACGATTTGTATTGTCTTGATCGATGGATCCGATCCGCTATAATTGGAGAGGGAGGGCTTATAATCCGAGGGAAAACTGAACGAATCGCCGATTCAGCTACTGAGCGTAAATAACTCACGAATTATGCTATCTCCTGCTAAGGAGAGCCTACCGCGTCGCCTATCCTCACTTCGAGCCGCGTCGATCGATACTGCGAGTCTTCTCGATTTTTGTATCGAATGTGATCATCTCCAGTGCCACTCTCACAGACTGCGCTTGCTGTCTAGGTGAATTGATCCAAGTGATCAGGCGCGCGAAACCGACGAGCAACGCTGATCCCAAATATTCAAAGCCGAAATCGAGTGGTCGTAGAGTGACGTCGCACCCTATCGGGAATCGTAGCTCCTTCAATTGCGTCGACTTCCTCAGATTTGAAATACCACGATCAAGGAACGTTTTTCTTGTTTCTTCGCGATAACGCGAGGTTCATTAATGGTATTACCCCCGACATTACGCCAGAGAGCTATCGACACAGCGCAGCTCGACGCGCACCAAGGCATAGTCAGGACAAGTGATGGATCGAATGGTATGAGAAGCGATGAAGAGTGCCAACAGCAAACAGCGATTCGGACCGCGCAGCAGCGTACCGCATCGATGGAGACAACGCCCCGCTGTCCCCAACAGAAGCGTGGGGGAGACTGGCGGTGGACATCCCCGGGCAGCGGACGGCCCGCTCGGCGCAGAGAATGGCTTCGCGGTCGTGGTCATCGATTACTACTCTAAATGGGCTGAATTGGAACTCCTTTCGGAGGTGTGGGCCGCAAATGTCGTAAATGTTTATTCAGACGAGTGTGTTAAGAGAGAAGAAATCCCTCGATATTTCGTAAGCGAAAATGGTGTACAATTCATCAGCGGAGAGTTCTAGACCATGGCCGCAGAGTTGGGAATTCAACACGTAAGGACCAGACCCGCTTTTAAGAAATCCTGTCCGCGCCTCATCGACAGCGCTGCAGACGGGTATGACGCTGATGATGATGATCTCTGCTTGAAATCTCCCCCAGAACTTCCCAGGACCTCACAGCTTCCTCTCCGTGGAGCGGTTTCGGGGACGTGGTATACGAGAATCGTCGGAGTTTTGACCTCTGGGAAACAGGCCAGTCTAGACTCTGAGAGTATCCGGGATGAGGAATCCGAGAATTCTTGGAGTCTTGACCAAGAAGACCGGCCAGTCTACACTGCGCGAGGCGCGAGTCTTCGGAATAAGGTATCCGAGGGCTGTCGGAGTTTTCACCCCTGGCATGCCGGCCAATCGACACTCCGAGAATCCCGAAAATAATCTTCCGAGTTCGATCCGCTTAGCCTCACCAGGATATTCGATCCCGAAAATCTTCGGAGAAGGAAGCCCGAGAATTATCGGAGTGTTCTACCCGAGGAGCTTGGACAAGATCCGATTCCGGAAGACCTCGGACTAGGGAACCCGAGGATCATCGGAACTCCCTCGTCGTTCAGGGGACGCACTCCTGGCCCGAAGTCTCCTTACCCTGGAAAGCTAGATGTCTATGCGCCGCGGCCGGCCGCCGCTTCCGTCGAGAGGAAGCCTCTCCCCCGCTAACTTGGCGCGCAACTTTGTCGTTGTTTGAGCAATCGAACCAGTTTGAACGAAGCTGCTTGCAGAAGAAACGCCGAGCGCCGAACGCGGAAACGAGCTATCCTCAGAATCCCAAGGAACTGGACTCCGGGAGTCGATCGCGCGGGCCTACCCCCCATCCGAATCGAGCTCTTCCTTCATTGCATCAACAAATCTCGACGGAGGAGAGGGACTTGTTGTGAAACTTCCCGTGATAGAAGACGATCGAAAACCTGCGGAGCTCAATTTCGTTACATCGTCATATTCGAGCGAAGTCAATCAATCGGACGGTGCTGCTCCGAGAGGCGATTGAGTCTCGGTTCTTATAGGCCGTTGGCTGATTGTCACAGCTTCCCCGATCTCTTGATAGGTGTGAGGTGTCGGAGGCAGTGTCGTGTCGGACTCGCCATTTGTGGGATCAATAGATAGTCGAAGGCAAGTACATAACCTCCCTCCAACGCGAGCGCTCTCCTTGAGCTGGCGCGACACTTCCGTGGAGGGATACTGACGTCTCGGTTTTCTTACAGATGTCGGACGAGGGCAGCGGCAAAGCTGCGAACCAGTTACCAATATGGGGAAATGAGAAGACAATGAATTTGAACACAATGATCCTAGCCAACATCCAAGGCTCACCGTACTTCAAGAACAACCTCTACAAATTGAAAACTTATCATCAAGTCATAGACGAGATCTACTATAATGTCGCCCATCTTGAGCCTTGGGAGAGAGGTTCGCGCAGGGTACGCGATGTGATTTTCTCCCGTATTCTATCCTGAATCCTACTCGTTCATTCAACGTTTCCCCACGAGTATACAGCTCGGGCCGCCCGTGGCGTAGATAAGGCGCAGAAGCTCCACCGCATTGCTTCCTTGTAGAGCTTCCCTCAAAAAATTCTCTTCACAGACATCTGGGCAAGTCGGGATGTGCGGAGGCGTCCGCGGTGTGGGAGCCGGAGGTATCGTTTCGACCGCGTTCTGCTGTCTCTACAAATTGTACACCCTCAAGTTGACACGCAAACAAGTGTATGGACTGCTGGATCACACGGACTCGCCATACATCCGAGCTCTGGGCTTCATGTACCTGAGGTTCACGCAGCCTCCGCAAAATCTCATCTCTTGGTTTGAGCCGTACTTTGACGACGATGAGGTAATATTTTCGGTCAGTTCGTCTTCGGCGCGTATGCCGAGATCGAGAAGATCTCTGAACACGGGTCATCAGGGGCTAGAGGCGCTTGCGGTCGGAGGGCGTTGGAGTAGTCGGTCGTTTGGTGGGTCGCTTGGTCGCACGGCCGGTCGGTCCATCGGTTGGTCCGTCGTTCGCGAGCGACGCCGCGCGCACTGGGGTCACTGTAATGACTACTCGTTGCTTTCCAGATCTTTTCAGAAAGGGCACTAAGATAGCTGAGAGCGTGATAGCTTCGAAGGCGATTCACACGAAGTGCACGAACTTCCACAATGTGAAGGGCAAGTGGACGCTCGACCTCCTCGCAAGCTGCCTTCAGGCCGCCGGTTGAGGTAACACCCGGAAGTTCTGATGCATCCCAGTTGATCTCAACGACGGAAACTTTTCGAAAATGTTCCATCATCGAGCGATGTTCTCTCTTGTTCTGTGGATGTTGTTTCCAGCTGTGGATGATTCCGTTCTCGGGTGGCCCTTCCGGCGAGCCAGCCCTTGCAGACTCAGAACTCAATCTCCGCCTGATTTTCCAGGAAGTCGACCCAAAAGCCGGCGGAGGCAGCCCAATGACCATCGGGATGATGTTGCGGAACATGCTCACGAGTTTGGACTGGTACTCGACACTGTTCCCTCGGATTCCCGTCCCCGTTCAGAAACAGATCAACGCGGTCTTGACCAACAAGTGAGTGTGAACTCTCGGGTATTTTCCCGTCTCGACCTAGTGGCGATCTCCCTGACCCCCATTTTCTCCCCACGTCAGGTTCCCCATTCAACCGGCAGTAGCTCCCGTACGTCAGGAGAATCTTGAACCCAAAGAAACGAACAACCACGAAGAACGAGAGCCGCGCGAGCCGCGTCGTGAAAGACCGCGGAGTCGATCGCGCGAACGACGGCGAAGTCGAGACCGCAGCGGATTTGAAACTCGGGACCGAAGACCGGACTCGCGGGAACGCCGGCGGGAGAAGAAATACAAGAGAGACAAAAGAGATCGCAGTCGCAGCAGGAATCGCTCAAAAGACAGGAAGGAAAAGTATCGGAGTGAGAGGCGCGATCACTCTCGCGAGCGGAGGAGATACTGATTCTCATTCAGATCCGATCTCGTGCAGACGGCAAGAATGAAAATAATACCGATGGATTTCACGGAGAATATTCGATCTGTTGACCCAACTTCGTTCGGTCGCACATTATGTACAGAAGTCGTTCCGAATCGTTCAATTATATAAAATGATTACTATATACGTCGAGTGCGGGTGTTTACTTTTAGCGCAGCTTTGTCTCCATTCCGTTAGTCTTCGGTCTTCGGGCACCTTGATTGGTCATTCGCGTTGAGGCATTCGATGGACTGATCAGATTTCCCCCGTGTCACGCCTTCCCGACACTCCTAGCTATTGGAGCACGGACCCTCGTGTGCCACCCTCATGTCCGCGCAGTACGCGTAACACGAGTTCTGGAAAGTTTTCATTTCGCCGTTGTCGCTCTTGGCGCAGACTGGACGTTGGATCGGTTTACAGATGCACTCCGTCCGCATGACTGCAAAATTTTTTAGAAAACCTCACCAGAAAAGTCAGAGTCGTCGGGAGATCGATTCGTATACGCGAGCCTTCGAAGTATCTTACAGAATGCACCGGAGAAATCAGCGACAAGACAGATGATGAGCGCAACGATACACAATACCGGAATGGACCGCATGCTCAGGGGACGCGCCCTCTCGATCAGGGACGAAGGCGAAAGATCTGGAAATCAGAAAGCTCAAATGCGCTCGTGGATGCTCAGTGTTGATGCCGCTATCTGATCGACGTCCGACAGCACGTCCAGGTCAGATTCGATCGCGAGTTCCTTCTCAATTCGAAAGCGCCAAGAGATTTTCGCGGTGCTCGGAAGGTCGGAGCACAGCCTTGATCGTGTGGGCCGAAGGACTATCGAACTCGTTCGATCGAACGAATCTCCCTCTGATTCGTCTCGAATCGATCTGCCCGAGCGGAAACTCCAGCTCACGAAATGGACAAGCAGCGCGAGCCAAGCTTGAACTAGTAGTAGTTCTGCTCGTGCTACAGTCAGTTTTTGATAGGAGAAAATAATTTCAGCGATGTCGTACCACGAACGAACCTGTTACACGGAGTTCGACGACTTTGGGGATATATCTACGAGTCGAGAACAGAACTGGATTCACGATTAGCAGATGTGATATAAACTTGAACTTATAAAGCACGAAATGTGCACCATCGCTGCTCCGCTTTGTCAGCTCGAATCAATCACTGCAAGCTAGACAAAGAATCGTTAGTCCTGACAACAATTCGAATCTGAAGGTTTGACAGCGATGCCTACCCTCGCGACGAGACACCTATTGTCAGTCAGTTTCTGGTCTAGAGAACTGCCGGCCACAATAACAGAAAAATGCGACTCAGCACCACGCAACGTGGATGTTACAGCATCGGAACGTCAATAAAGAGTCTACGCGTCTAGGCGACGCGACGTACGCCCAGCTCGTTTTTGTGGTCGGGTTTCGAGCAGCTTGATCGAGCTCGCCGCTCGAGTTCGCCGAGGCTTTGACTGAGTGAGTCCGTGTCTCGCGAGTGGAAGAAATCATCGGCTGGCCCGGGAGGAGATGCCCGAAAAAAGTTCTCTGACTTCTTAGAGCTCCGAGAACGGATCTGTAGAAAGTTCGATCGCTTTGCACTCGAAGGTAGCTCGCAGACTCGGGTTCTCGAGCGCAATGAGATAGGGAGCCATTCCGCGCGAACCCTCCGTGCTTCACATGCAGGATCGGTCGCGTTCCGATGAGCGGGCCATTCTACAATGGGTCTTCGCCCGTTTCCAGGCCTCCGTATCGAATCTTGATAAAATTCTCCGAAAGCTTACCTCTTCCGGCGCTCGCAGCGGATTACAGGAAGCCCAGCATTCGAGTTTACAGCATCGAGGCTGTTCGCTGGCTTACCCGCTCGCTCGCTCACTCAGTCAGTCAGTCAGTCGGTCCTTTTGGAATTGCAGTCCCTTGGCAAGCATTGCGATAAGGATCCGTGCAAACAAGTGCGATAGCGTCTCCTCTCTCATGGGCGAGATGCGATACATACCTAGCATGATCTTGATCATGAGAAATGTCTCATGAAGAATTTTCATAATGTCAAGCAGTCCGACTGAGCAAGCGATGTCTGACCTTCAGTCGAGGCTTCGGAAGTATACTCTGTGTCGCTCATCATCAGACAGAAAGTCATCAATCGCGATCATTTTTTTTTATTGCTCTCCGCGAAAATATCCGTCGACGAATCACTCGCATCGTTGCATGTTGCATCCAGTGGGAGTTAGAATTTTTCTCAATCATAGTAACCACCTGTTCTGAATGAGGTTAGGTGCTCACGACTGAAAAGCTTACTCGAGCAGGGGGCTATCTTTGACCAAGATCAGAATTTTCCCATGGGTTGTTCACGGAGGGAAGTAACTCAAATAATCCCTCGAGTTTCCTACTCGAGGGCATTTTCGCATCAAAGCGGCTGACCGAGACGACTTCCGCGTGTTTTAAGTTTTTGGTCTGTTTCTCTCTTCCGTATTCATCAATGCTGTGGCATTCATCCTTAGCTAGTCGGAAAAAAGTTTATGCTGCTGTGTGAGCCTGATGGCGACGATAGCAGCGCACCCTATAGGATATCAGGGAAAGCTTTCACTGTTGAAACCAGGGACACCGTCGCCGCCAGAACAACACAATCGGTCCTTGGCACAAGTCGGAACTCGTCTTTTCGGTTTCCTCTGCCTGATTCGCGTCGAATACCGAATATTTGGATGAACATTTTCAGAAGGTTCTCAGCCATGACACTGAAGGAGTTCGCCGACGTTCCCTGTGAGGTTGCCATCGTTGGTGAGTGCGAGAACTCTCAAGAGCCTATTCGAAAGAACGGAGTGTTGGTGGGCCGATCCGCAAACAGCTGATAGTGTCACTGAGCCGCGAATACGTCAGCATCAACCGATTTCAACGTCGGGCCAGGATGCCTATCGAGGATCTATAATCCGACTTCCCAACTAGTGTACACGGCATAATGGCTATCTGAGACGACAATGTTTCCGGGCTCCTCCGGCTAAAATTTTCATTCGCAGGCATGGGCTGCTTCTGGGGTGTGGAATCTCTGTACGGTATCCAGAGAGGCGTTCTTCGAACGTGCGTCGGCTACACTGGTGGTAAAACAACGGGTCCAACATACCATGACTTGGAGAACCACACGGAAGTCGTGAAAATCGAATATGACCCCACCGTGATTGAATTTGCAAGTAAGCCTGTCGATGTCAGCTGGACGATTGACTCCATTCGGGACCGTCAACACTTGGGGGAAATTGTTTTATGGAGGCTCTCTCCTTAGGAATCGACGACAGCTTCAATAGTTTCGGGACTGCGGAAGCATTTCTTGAACAGCCTGCTTGATTCTCGGAATTTCGTCAACGCGGTGCAGACGTTCTCAAGGTAACGACTTTCGCTTTCAGAAATTGTGGATATTTTCTTCGAGAAGCACGACCCTACCGTCCAGTACAAGCCTCAGTACATGTCGGTGATTTTCTGCCAAGATGATTCGCAGAGAGAGACCGCCGAGAAGAAACTCGAGGCGGCACGAGCGAAATCGCGAAAAAAATTGTCACTCAGATCAAACCCAAGACGCCTTTCTATCCCGCTGAGCTTTATCACCAGAAATACCGGCTGCAATGTAAGGAGGCTGGCTGGTTGAGACGATTTCGTACGGAAATATCCGGAATTCCTTACTCGTGATCATTTTGCTCATTCTTATGATAGTCTATGATAGAACCTGAAGCGGTGGACTTTTTCGGCAGGCAACAAAGAGGTCATGAAGTTGGCAGCGAAAGCGGGATTGACAGACGTGATCACGAGTCATGTGGCTGCTCGGATCAACGGATACCTCGGAGGCCAAGGGACACTGGAGCAACTCCAAAGCGAAGATCTAGGAATGACTCCTGAACTGACCAAGTACCTCGAAGATCTACTCAAGAGGGGGATCCGCGTATCTTGCCATTGATCAAGCCGTGCGTGATTTTTGAAAAATCGAGGAAATTGAGTTTTTCGTAGTCTTTCAAATACATGTAAAGCGAACATCATCCTTTCACCTCACGATCTGGCGCAAATCGACCATATCCTTCGCCTTAATAAAGTAGGTTCCTCCGGGAAAATGATACGACTCGAGATGCAATTCATATCGAGGCACTTCTGAATCAGAGGTTGCCGAATCGAGGTATTGCCCATATTCCGTATCATAGATTACCTTCCATGCATGATTTAATTTTGATGATCTCATGGAGCCGTGGGCCGTGGCATCTTACGGCCTCCTTGGAGGCATAGATACTCGTGAAGACTAATTTTGTTCCTGGGCGGATCAGACGCTGGATCCCGAACTCACCATTTTAAGCAGTTACGAATTCGGACGACGATAGAGTTTCCAGGTGCCGACGCCCTGGGATCCCCGTATCGCCGCGAGAATCTTGAACCGCAAATCTCGGTATTCCGCGGCTGCAAGACGGTAATGAAATAGCGGTATCTCGCGATTCGCAAACCGGGATCCATCGAATCGGCGATGGATCCAAACTCGAGTGAATTGTGGGACTACGTTATTCTAAAGAAAGAATTGCGCCTGAGGCTCAACGACTCATATACGAGCTCCTGATACGAATGGAATTTCCATGTGGAACTCCTTCGAAAAATTGAGCGGAATAATTTGACACCCTCAGGTCCTCTCTGGAGGGAAAGTTTTCGGCTTCTTGACGGAAGAACTGTTATGATGCGGTCCAAAGGACTTTCTATTGCTACTTCCGCCGAGCTAATATGCAATAAAGAACAGTCGTTAGCAGTTATCTTTTTTTCTGGACACAGAGTCAATAATTGAGCCTCGCGACAATAAATCATCCCCCGAACGCGGCTCAATTAAGATGATCTGGCCTCGTTTAAAGGATTGTCATTCGATCAGATTGTCGATATTTGCCCTATCATTATGAGTCGTGGCGATATACTGCCCTTCGTTCTATGAATTGAGACGTATCGAAACAAAGTACTCGCTCCACAGGGTGGATGTCCCCCTGGCTCGACACCATCGAATCAGAGGAGCTCCCTAACTTCTGTCACGAACCGTTCCATCACTTCCAGAGAGCTGCTGAAGTTCGGAGATAATTGTATTCTACCTCTGGTCGGACTGAAGCTCCGAGTGGAAAAGTCGGTGGTCGGAACTCGGAGACTCGAGACTCAATGCGTGAAGCTATTACGAAGGCCCCCGAGACTCCCCCCTCTCCGCCGGATGAAGTCGACAAGTCGACAGCGGATTCGACGAATTCACCTCAAGATATTCGTCTCACTGATCCTGGCAGACACGATTTTCTTTCGGTCGCAGCGAGCATTGAAAGATTGATTGGGACGTGGGACGATTTCACAAGTAGTTTCACACAACATGACATCCGACGGAGATATCTTCCGCTAGTCATTCGGTCGATTCTGGTGAGGAAACGGAGTGTTGCGAAACTAGCGGTCTCAGTTGCGGGGCAACCGTCTTTGAACGTGATCGATGCCGTTTTCACGCCCATGTTCCTTATCACATCGTTGAAGAGGTCCATCGCCTTCTGTAAAATGGAGGCACCAGGAGCACCAGAGTGATGAGCATTTATCCGTGGCGAGTGACTGGTCTTAGCGGGATCTGAAGTCCACGCCCAGTTTTTAAATACAGGAATACCTTGCATAATGCGGATTTCGGGACCGCGCTATTCAAGTACCCGCACTATCCAAGTCGGCACTGTTGAAGAGAGAGGGTCCGCACTATCGGGATCAACACACTGTGGATTCGATTAGCGCGGACCCGCTTGGAACAACAGATTTTCCGGCCTTCGCATACTATTCTTTTGACGCTTCGCGCGTCTATAGAAACATTCACATTCCGTCGCGAATTATCCCGCCGTTTTAAAATCCGCACTATTCGAAACCGGGTGTCCGCACTATCAGAATCCGCCAGACAGATTCCCATAGTGCGTACCCTCCGCCTCGCATGGTGCGGCTTTGGATAGTGCGGGCCGCAGTATCGGAATCCGCACTATGCGAGGTATTCCTGTACCTTAATGTTTTAATAAAGCGATGTTATTATTATTGATATTCTCCTGATGATGATTATATGATTATCAATAACTTGCGCATACTAGTAGATATTTCTTCAGCTATGCCTAGCGGGCGATTCTCCACTGGGAACCGCTCCAAATTGCGGGAAATCGCCCGGGACTTTGAAGAGTCCCAACGGAAAGGGAAAGGGGAACTCGGGACGAATATATCGAGAGTGGACCAGAACCGCCGGGACTCATCCTCTTTCACTCGGCACTATTCGTAGCATCCTGACAGCTGCACCTCCATGTGCTGAACATAGGGATCAGGCCATATCATTTACTCGGAATTTCTTGCCCGGAGATCGACGAGGGGCTGGGGTATCACCTCCAATTTTTGCGTGCCTGGCCCATTTCCATGTTCCGACAGTGTGATATCAGTATTGCTGCGAATCGAGGAGCTTTCTGAAGGAAAGAGAGTCGCGCGATATTCTTCAGACTCCTGACGTCCCGATGAGAAATCGCGGCTCAAATCATGAGCCTTCCGCCATCGGACCTACGGCTCCGAATCCGTCGTGGCTCTCGTCTCAAATGAAGCCGATAGCTGTAGAAACCGTGCAAGCCTTCGAGATTAAACTTTTTTCCACCAGAAAATACGACGATGCGTCACCCCTCGTTTAGCTGCAGAGGTGTAGACGCATAATTGATTATTTTTATCAAGTGGCGAGGAGTAAACCACAGTGAACAAATCATTTTCGTCCATTTGGAAGACTCAGAAGCTGTCGGCAGTCCACGTACGTGTCTTGTCTACCAGATCTCCTCGTTGCGGAAATATTTTCGTACTATTTCCGAGATTCCAAAAAGTTCGGAAGTACGCATCTCGAAGGGCCTATCCTCCGCGCGCTCAGAGACGTACTATTTTGACGTTGTTTGCCTTTGCATCCACAGGATTTCTCTCGGACGGCGACTGGATCGAGTCTTCGAAAGAGGTTGATATGCAACAGGGCGACTCGCTCTTGAACACTAGCATTCTTACAAGCGCACAATCTGGGAGGGCCTATAGACCTCTTCGCCCCTCCCCTGCGGTCGCGCCTAGATAACTGAGGATGAGAGCCTCTTCCACGTCACTGAGAGATCGGCTCCTACCTATACTTCCAAATTCAAGCGGATGGCTCGAGAATTATCAGGTCGAGGAGAGTTCCGTTTTTCTATGGGATCTGCTGACAGTTGAACATTAGGGATGGGATACGGTGTGGACCCCGGACGTGGCCTTATTTCAGTGTCCAGCCGAGAAGCTCTTTTTTTTTAATCTTCCACTCAGTCGTGCCGATCTCCCTCAGATTTTCTGCTCAAATTGTAGCAGTGAACTTCATGGCGAAGTGAGGGCTTCCCGAGACCTGCACAAAGATTCCTCAGCAAGAAATCCAAGAAAAATGGGGTGGTTTCATCCCTGTGTCCCCCACACCACAAAGCAGAGGGTTATCAGTTATCACTCCGCGAGGATACTGTGTCCCATTTTCTGTTTTTCTCCCTCCATACTCTCCGCGCGGCTGTCGAGGGGCCTTGTCAGGCATGCTCAAGAAGGAAGTCACTGGAACCCGGGCAGGGGGCGTTGTGAGTCAGGGAGAGAATTCACTACCGACTTGGGACTCCCGATAGGAAGGGGGCCGAAACATGGCGGCGAAAAGTCGGACTGCCCTCCTTGTTCAATCATCGCTCACTCACGTTAGTCGGCACCGACTAAACCGGAACATGACTCGGAATACATTTCCTCTCCATATTTATTCAAAAAGTATCCCACATGTCTACAAAAGTCGTCTTCGTATTTATATACATCGTCTTCTTGGCGGAACTCTCCTCGAGAGAAGAACAGGGATGACCGTCGTAGTTTCCCACAACGTCACAGACCCCGTCAGAGGAACTCGTTTGGCACTCATGTAGGCCTGCACACAAGATTTTAAGCGTTGTCCGTCCAGCTGTGGATTGTACAGTTACGCGATGAACTTCATTTCAGGTATCTGATTGTTCAGAGAACTCGAACCGGTCGTTGCGAGCAACTTAGGCCTTGGCCTTCTTGTATTCCAGTCCGTAATGAGTGCCTCCGATCCCGCTCACACCGAGTTGACCCCCGTAGTGTGACAGAGGAGCATGGGAAACTGAAGCGTGAGCGGCGTGACCAAAGTCAACGGGAGCGGCAATCCTGTGGCCTCCGTAGCTGAGCAGGGGAGCTTGCAGCTGGAAAAAAGAATAAGATCGATTAACCGCGAAAACTTCGATGGGAATGAGCAAGGACCGGAATGTGACTACGGCATTGATAATCGTCGATTCTCTGCGACAAGTAATTAGGATCCTTAATAATTCATCTTTCGACCTCCGGCACGTCGAGCATTACCGCTACCCACCCGCCGTCGTCTCCCCATCGCCATCGACAATGACGATTACGAACCGGCGACGTAAATGAGACACACACACACTTTTAACGACCGACCCGAGCAAGGACGCCGCGCCGTTAACTACGGTCAGTCTTTCACACGGCAACGGCGATGCGCCAAGATGATGACAATAGATACATATATTTATCTCTCCTTACTTCCAGCGATGGCCATTCAGGCAGAAGGCGCGCAATACGCTTTTCGTAAGAAGCTAAATTACTACGGTGGACCAGAGACCGTCGCAGACACATGGACGAGAGGGGTCCGCGCGTCGTCCGGCACACCCGTCAGCCTGCCGAAAGAACTCTGCGGCGTTTCCGCGACGCTGTGCCGCTGACGGTCTTCGCAAAGTTTTGCGCCGTAATACGAGCCTCTGCGAACGAGAATGGCTTCGACCATCCTTAAATAAATCCGTTCCACGTTGATAGTCGATATCGGAGACAGCCGCCGTGTTGGTGGACAGTCCTGTGTTTGCTTAATGACGCAAGCAATCTCTCGACAAACGCAATAAAAACTCGAGGAAACGTTCTCAAATCAAACGACGACCATCGTCGCTCGCGTCTTCGATTAATCTGGTCCGCTGCTTGATTTTTCTTTCCGGTCTAGTCGTGCCGTCGTTATTTGTCGCTGAGATCCCGTCTGCGGTACTACGCATATTCAAACGCGTAGGCTCCGCCTTCTAGGGAACCAGTGCACGCATTCCATTCTTTGACTAATAACACGGACCGAGTTTACTTCGCTTAACCGGAACGTGGAAATTCCATTGAAACAAGCAGAGAAAACTTCCAGAGCAACCAGGGGAGGCAGATAGTTGCCGTGTTTGAACCCTCATTACGAATGGATCATTGATTGAGAAACAGCATTTGAATGGAATGCTGACATAATGCCGAAGGTAAAAGATAAAGACGATCCGAGAACGACAAAAACGTAAGAAGCAATTAGGAACGGGGGACAACGTCCGGAACAAGTAGCTCAGGTGCACCCTCACCCACAAACGTGCGGAATTTGATGTGCTGGGCGGGCTGATTTCTCAAATTGAAAAGCATCATTCGTTTCCTACGTCGCGCTGTTCCGAATGCACCTGCACGAAGCTCCGCGATATTTACCGCACCCCAGCATCATATCAATGGCATGCCTGAGAACGGTTCTCACACGAAAAGAACGGCTTCTCATCATATCGAACGCACGACGAGCGATAATTATTTCGAAGTTCCGCATGTACATGGCCGAATTTGCTCTGTGAGAATCGCGAAAAATTGCCAAGGCAAGTATTGTGGTGTCTCTTTGGTTGGAATTCGGGTAAGCACGACTTTACCGGCGATTGAGAAGAGAACGACTGATTTGACAATTCAACCGATGGAGCAAAAAATAGGCTGACGAAAATTGGCGACATCGTTCCTCAAGCGTTACAAGCAACGCCCCCGACGAGACGCACAGTGAACTGACCATTCCGATGGACTTGCAAGAGCTTGAATGCTCAACATCGGAAAAGAGGTTTCGTTTTCTCGGACCCCGCTCGAACTTTGTGAGGGCTTCCTTACATCCTGCACGCCTCTGACGAGTCCCTCAAAAATAGTCGAGGCGGTGTCGCGTCGCCGCACAGGCCCAACCTATGAAGGATGAATGTACGAAGACCGCGTGGGAATATATCTTGCCAAGAGAGTGAGCGAATTTCCTCACAAATCATAACTTTGATCTAAAGTTTCCCGAAAACCGATCGATTTCTGTCGGAGCTCATGGGCATTCCGGGGTCTGTTTGAGCTCGGAGCCTTGGAATGCCCCCGAAACTGATGGAAACCTTTTTTCCATTGAAAGGATCCCTGCAGGCTCATTAAGAGCCGCGTTGTCCCGTATTTTTCAAATCGCTCAAAACAGCTATTTTTTTTCTTGCGGTAAATTCGCGCAACCGGATCGGTGTCCACGAGAAAAACACCGTGCCTCGTGTACTTGGATTTCAGTCACTGGCCCGTCCGAAATGAGCACTGACCACGGATAAGTGAGTGCATCCAAGAAGTGCAAATGACTTGAATTATTCGCTTACGAAATATTCGTTAACAGGTAGCTTTGAGAAGGCGGTGCCTTGAGCGGAACGCTTCTGACCACTACTTTATCGCTGGGCGCCGCGGTTTTCAATTCCAAGCGGATAAACGCAGTATAATCCTCGTGTTATCGGTGCGCCGATGACTATCTGACGGTGAAAATGTCTCACTTTGGTCGATCCGCATCGCGACCAGCTCCGACCACAGATCACGCCCCGTCGATTCCAGCATTTGTTTTCGCTTGTACGTTTGTTTAGTGGAAGAGCGATAGTGCTGTTTTTGTTTCCTTCGATTGCCGTTTTGTCGAACAGTAGCTTTCCGATGAAGAACTCGAGACGGAAAACTTGCAAAATCCACGCGATTAGATGTTGACTCTCAAATCAGAGGGAATTCCACCCGGAGACAGCCGAGCCGTAAACACCAACGAACTGACCATCGCACCCGGTGAGCGAAAGACATCACCACAGCTTTCACACAATGGAGGAAATGTCGTTTCGAGATACGGACACTTCCCATAATGTTCGCCCGAACTTCAATCTTCACCACCCTAACGTCTCATTCCCCCAGCGTTGCCATGCGTTTGTCCTGGTCGGAGAAGTCCGAGAAGACAACGCTTCCGTTTTGAGATTCTTTTCGGATAATCTTCACGCCCCATGCCACCGAACTCACCTTTAGTCCACCGTGATTGAGGTGCTGGATGCTTTCCAGAGCTCCTTTGGCGTATCCTCCGAAACCGCCCACGTAGCCCCCGTAGAGTTTAGATCTCTGAGGTAGGCCGTAATCGAGTTGGTATCCAAGGTTATGGCTCGCGTAGCTGGGAAGGAAACCTCCGTGATCTACGGTGTGGGCCAATGATAGTCCGTCGTAACCGAAACTGTGCAGTCCAAGGAGGTCCCCGCTTGGAGCGCCGTATCCACTTCCGTGATTGATTGAAGCTCCGTGATGGACGGTCTATGAATTCGATTTTTGATTAATTCTCCTTGTTTTCCATATCTTGGTGAGCGCCGCATGACAATCGATGCTCACCTGCACGAGGTTCGCTGTCTGGACGTGACCGTGGGAGGGTGCGTGGGCATAAGCTCGTCCGTGAACAAGCCCGTTATGATGCCCGAGGAGATGCCCAGGCAAGTAAGCCGAGTGAGTACCGAACGACACGGCGGCGACGGCGGACAACAAAACAAACTGCAACAATCAAACTCGGTTGTCCGACTCCAGATTTGTAAGCCCGCTCGGATCAGAATCTTGGAGCAGACAAAGTCAGTGGGAAAATTTTCTTCCACTCACCGACTTCATTCCAAGACTGGAATCTCAATGATACTCTGATCAGAACATGCACTTCACACTTCACCGGCTGAAAGTATTCCCGTGAGCACCACCCGCTGCGCGGGATAGCTCTGGATATATATGTAAGCTGCCCCCTCCCGCCGAGAACCCTTGCCCAAAGGAAGGAAGGCCAGGTCTGGACGCGCAGTCATTGTTGTTCTGTGTCCAAGCGATTGTCCGCGAACTACAGTATTCGTCTTAGCACACGATTTCACTACCGCAATTTGGTTAAAATTCGTCGAGTGTCGAATTCTGTGGGAAAGTCAGTTTCTGTTCTTGTCGGTCTAACATTTGGAGCGTCGCCGTCGGTCGTGGACACCGCCGACGACCCGACTCAGGGGCGAAAATTATTCTTTGAGCTGATGCATCTGCTCTCGATTTTTCTCGTGTGAGAATAAAGCGTTAGAGGAGTCGAGAGACACTTCCTTCTCCTCCTGACATTGCTTGGCGCTCCCGCCCTAATCTCCCAGGGGTCTCACGATACTCCCCAGCATACGGGTTCCCGAAGGCTTCAACTTGCCGGCTCTAACGGAGACCAGACGAGTACTCGGTTCTCATTCATTCTCCTACATGTAGTAGCATGGAGCAAATATGCTGCGCAGGTCCGCGCGCAGAATCAATTAATCCTCTGACGGCGAGCAAGCAAGCGAGCGAGCATGAAGTCCGGGTTTTTAGGCAGGGGCACCCAAGTGAAGATAAAAATAAATCCTTCATCTTATCATTCTCATCTGCCTACGGAAGGGTACATTCGAAACAGGGATCGATGTTCGTGGGAAACGATGAACCGTCGAAGAGACACGGAGAACTCCTGCAGTTGCGTCCTGCCTACGAAAAATGATACGCCTTCCGTTTGACAGTATCCACTCCCGAAGCGCGCGGCGAGGTACGCCCGCGCTTCCTCGAAAGCGGATCTTACTTCTATCGCAGACTGGCAAATGTCTCGTAATCGGCAAGTCAAGCGGAAAAACTCGAGCAGAAAGAATGTGGGATATTTATACTGTCTTTATCGAAAACCCGAAATTGCGACTTGAGCCGCTGGCGCTGGTCAAACATGGGTGGCTCAGTCTCAAAAGTGTCCATCTGACTGACCCCCGAGCTCAATGTCGCGTAATTCTCACGATGATAGAGAGCTTTCGAGGTATAGTTCGAAATTCCGCGCTGGGTGCGATCGATTTTCGTGTGGAAGGTCCAGCGCCGTCAATCGATCCGGATGGCAAAAGTTTGGGCTGCTGCGACAAGTGAAAACAAAAAACTAGCCGCTTGGCGTGTCGAAGTCTGGCGAGAAGCATCACGAGTCCCTTGACGTCGGTCGTCAGCTTGAAAATGACTTCCAAGGAGACGCCGATATCATGTGTTTACAACTATAGATTGGCTTTCGGCGTGGTCGAACTCCGCCGAAATATCGATAGTACCAAAACTCTCGCTTAAGATTTGATATGAGCAACAGATGTCGCTGCCAAAAACGTCATTCTACAGAAGTAGCCATTGCTGGACGTCTTAGAAGTTTTCAGCCCTTTTTGTTCATGCTGCAGCTTCTACCGGCAAGCGACCTTGTGCTTTATGAATTACATCACAGCAAACAACGGCTGCGTGAGGCACTACGGAACGATGACAACGAACGGGAACGGCTACCGCCGCCGCCACCGGTGACGGATGCAATTCGCCTTGAATGAAGAGCTCATTGAGGGAAATCGCCGAGCCCACTCGACGTTCAGAACTGTAGCGAGGCTGCGACTGTATCGAGAATTCCGTCGGCGAACGAGGGGGAGACGCATCACCTGTGATCACGAAGGCAACTTCCCTCACTGACGAGATTTTCGATCGCATCCTTGTATCCGGCCTTTTTCTGGCACCGGAGTGTGAGAACGAGGCTCCTCGTCTTCTCCGTCTCCCTCGCGCCGTTCGGATTGTGCGATGATGGTCAATCACGTCGGCTTCTTATGATGAGTGGATCGATTCTTCCCTGCTTCCCTCCTCCCGAGTTCCGATTTTGTTCTGCTACAAGCGTTCCTCTGCGAGATTTCATATTCGGCCGAGAAGAAGAAGTAATTGATTGAGCAGTCCGCTCCCCAATGGCTCCGATATCCTTCTCCTACGATTCCTATTCCACCACGATGGCTCGGGAGACGATCGTCCGCTACAAATTCAGAACAATGATGGCATGCTCCCTTAAAGCAGGAATGAACAGAAGATGCCTGGACGAAAGAGTCTGCAGAAGTCCAATGAGACGAAGCCGATCGCTCGCTCTCTTCTGTCTGTCAGCGACTGTTCGTCCGGGAAGGTCGAGCGAGTTGAGATAGCACCGGAAACTGTGGAAGACAACAACCGTTGTCCAGAATCCCATGTCGATCTGATAGCTCCTCAAGTCATACACACAAACGAGCTATTGTCATCAGTTCATCAGCAATGGAGAAGCGCTCGCTGTCTCGACCGTGTTGTAGAGCGAATGCGCGAGAGAGCGATGGTAGAGCCATCGGTCGTGCCACAACACAAATTAGCGAAAACCAGCGGAATGAAAATCTACAATGAGTTGCTGAAGAAATCGACGGACGAAATGATTTCAGCGGACATCGAACCCTTCGAAGATCATGTTTTTGTGCGATTGGAACCCCTGAACCCGCTCCTTTCCGAAGGAAACGTACCGAAACTACCACCGTACGGCTGACAGACGATCAGATGCTGTTCGAAATGTACCATATCTGGACCGCCTAATCTTGTAACGGAACGATCAATTCGGTCATGGTATTTGGTTTTTGTGTCCGAGCCGAAGTGCTTCAATAGATGTTGTGGAGCTATCCTTCAGTCAGGCCGCTACTACTGTCTTCCGTCCCGGCAGAGCTAGAGCATCAAACCCCCGACTACAAGACAAGATACTAGCGGATGGGAGAAAAATACTTTCATGTTCTATACCGGAAAGCAAAAATCCCATGGTCACGGTCGGTCAGCAATACTGCCCGCGGGCGCTGATAAATTAATTGATTCTTTCGATGGCTTATCTGGTTGACAGTATCGCCATGCTGTGCGAAGCTCATTCGTCGCAGATCATTCGAGGGAGTTGCCCGCAGTCATTCACCGTCATACTTCGATTTCTGGTCAGTGAATAGGTCTCTTGGAGCGCTTTTTGTGAAATTACTCCGCGATCCACGCCAGGTATTCGATGCAATTAGATCGAAAGGCCCCAAGGTCGGAAATCTGTCACGTCTGGACTGATGGTGCGGATTGAAACGAATTCTGCGGGAAAAGACGAAAGATAAATTTTTCCGGAGCGACAAATGTTCCCTCTCTCAGAAATCACCCCGAATATCCTTCGGTTGAGCGGGAAGCAATCCGGTCGATTCGGATATCGCTGTGCTCGACGATGTTTCCATCATGGAGGGAAATCTACCGTTAGCGATGAGTTCGATCACGGGGAATATACATGGGACAGCGATTCAGTCAGCGATTTCGGAGCTTTTAATATATCGAAGGTTGCGGCTCGAAACGCTTCAAGAGCTTACATGAAGCGAAGGTTCCGTGCTCCTGGTGCATTGCGAACCCATAAATGGATTAGACTTCTCTGAATTTATGTCTGCGCTGTTTCTTGTTGGCAGATGCGCAATAAGAATGCTCCTGCCGAACATTATGATTGTTCATCGTGGTCGCCCGCTGCAATTACCCAGTCATTGTCTTGAGATGCTGGTCCATGTTTGAAAAAAATGATGGTGCGGCTAAATTATATGGTGAAATACATAATTGAATACATCCGAATATATGTATGTAGGTGCTGGTCCCGCTCTCGGAGACGGAATCGAGGATTCTCAGGCCACCTGGCTCGATGAGTGGCATGGAATGGGAGGTTTCATGATGCGCGGGATGATCGATCCCGATCGGGCAGCGACTTGATGTCTGAGGAGCCAGATGTACGCTTTCCACGGTGGCTGGTCGAATTTCCCGAAACCGCTTGCTCCATTCCGCATCCAGAGCTGAGAGGTGTGGGAGCTTCATCGCAGCTATTCAGCGGGAAAAGCTTAGCTCCGTGCGTACAATCCAGTTAGTCCGGGGCTGTTTTTCCTTGAGCAGAAGGGAGCGGTAATTCATGACAGAGTGAAGAATCGCTCAAACATAACTCTCGACCCAAGTCTGTAATCTCATGCGTCTGCGGACCTTTTGGACTACAACCCCGGATATGCGATGCGTCTTTGCTCAACACAAGATCATCAGTATTCATTTTTACAGTACCCCGTAAGACGACCATGGATAAGTGAGGCGACGCGACGCGGAGACCGTGACCCTCAGGACGTCGAGCTACCGAAGTTTCAACAATTTATTCTGGAAGCGAAAAAGCAGCGCCCGTGTAGATTTACGGAACGTTTGCTCTGTCCACGGCGATATTCGCGTACCCGGAATCGTGCAGTCTGCTTCGTTTTGAGGACCGGATACGAAAAGTGATCAAGACTGAAAATCGTCGAGTAAGAGCGACGCCCAAAGCGCAGTGGCGAGTTCCGTCGTGCTTCGATCGCTCGTCGACATTTGCGTCGCGACATCTTTCAATCAATTTCCACCTCCGATGCAGCTGACAGCCGTCGAATCATTGGGTCCGGTCATTTTTCAAGCGTCTGTGCTGTGTGTCAGTGATTGAGAAACTTTCGAATGTAAATCGGCGGTCGGTAAGAATGTCAGAAGTTGAGCGGAGATTTTCGAGGGTCTAAGCTCCGACCTGACGGATCCGGGCGGGAAAGGAAACTGCAGAAAACGCAGCCGACCGACCGTGTGGCCAACTGGTTCACGGCAAAGTTGGCCGTGACATCAGATGGGGAACTGGAAGATGCTTTGGATTGTTTGGGCGTGCAGGGCTTCAATGGAAAAATTCCAGGTGTCACGCACCTCGTCACGGTCGTTGCTATTGGCCTCAGTTTCAAGATCAAGCATGACAATTGAAGTGTATCCGGAAACCCGGAAGCGAAGAAACATGATTCAGAATCCTCCGCAAAAACTGCCGAAAGACGAAGTCCAAGAAATATTCGCAGCGTGAAGCGTCCAACGGGTTGACAGTGGGCAGTAAGAGGTACAGACCAGC